TGCACAGAGACCGCCCCAATTTATCACTGCTAGATGCATGTCAAGCGGACACACGAGGTTCTTTGTTGCTTGACGTTGAACTTAAAAACTACCAGTCCGGTTCTGCATCGGGTGGAAGTGGCCCTTCCTTTGCTGATCGGCAGAGGAGGAGACATGCTAACCAGATAAATAAAGCCCGATCGACAGGAAAATAGATGTTTACAGATGACAATGAAAAACACGGCTTACTGATTGACCCGCACCGGCTCCGTTGTGGAATGCTGGTATGTCACCCAAAGCTTATGAGGTTGCGGTGCTTTGTTTAAGATTTATCAACACTTGTCAGGGCACAATGTCAATCCAAAAAAACTACATACTCTATTAATTTGTTCAAGTAGAGAGAAACTTGCGTAGCAACAATCCTAGAGTTTTCAACCTCCAAAAAAAAATTTAAAAAGTTTTCGCACCTCATTTAAGTCTGCGTCGATACGGTCATGGTACCAACCAATGTATTAAACTCCTTGGCCAAACTCGTGGCAAAGAGTTCCATGAAAATTCAAGGAAAAGGTCATCCTGCGACGAAAACGAATGGGTCAAACGGGATAAATGAAGTTCAAAAAACTCTCCAAGAAAAGCAAAGAGAAAGGTCAGACATTTTTGCTTCATCAAAATCATCGGTCTTCGATTTCTTTGGGCCAAGCTTTCTATTGGATTTGGCGCAAAGTGAATTCTCTTTATGACCGTTTCATGAGACTCTTACTTCTCAATGTTTTGGGGAATGTGACTGATTCACTTCTTTTGTGCGATGCAGCAGGTCCGCCAAGAATGTCAATAATCTTCTGGAAACTTCGTTTTATTACGCCTTTCAGTCTTTGGTACTAGCTACTCTAACAAACTCTTTCAGCCATATTTCGCACTCTCTTTAAGATTTCATATCTTTTATTTCCACACATTAGACTTAGATGATTATTCTAACTGAAGGGCAATTAAACGAAATTTTGAAAATTTTGATCGGATTTTGTTTACAATAACCTCAAGTTAATCTCCAAGTAATATGAAACATTAATGAAATCTTAGAACTGAACTTTTCTTTAATTGAATGAACTAGTGATGAAATATTGAACACGGATACATTAAATATGAGCATATAAATAATTTACCCTCAGAAGTGATTATTTGCCTCCGCATAGTGGTGTCCCATGTAGGCCGCCATCAAGCTTGGATTTATTCCAACCCGTAAGAGAAAAGAGCGATAAATTTGTCCAAAATAAATGCACATATTACTTAGTGAGCTTTATCAATCTAGCAACCACTATCTGAAAACATAGGCACGCGTAACATGCAAAAGTTATTTTTTAGCTGGTAGAAATGGGACACTGTTTTCCTAATGTTTTCATAACTTACAAAATAACGAAATATCGCATTACTTCTCTTCAAGAGAAAGAGAAATAACATACTGAAGATACACTGAGCAAGAGAAAAGGATAATATTTCAAAGAGAGCTCCTTTAGTGGTTGTTGCCTATCTGGACTTTGCCCTATGTGTGGTGTGAAATACGTGATAAAATGCAGGTTGTTTACAAGGAATTAACACGCAATTGGGTTAATTCCAAGGTAGCTGAAAGGCAATTTTATTCTTGGAAAAAGAAAAAAAATTCACTATCATTAGCATAAAGTTTGATGTGAATTTTCTTCAGGAATGTTGGATAATGCGGATAGAATACGAGATAAAATGCATGTTGTCTTCAAGGAAATGGCATGTGATAGAGCGAAGTTTAATGTGGCAAAATGGAATTTGATTGGTCGAATACAATTCAAGCACGTGAAAAATTGCCTAATGCTCATGTAGTGCAATGATTGGGCATGTTCTGATTGGACTTTGGACGTTGTTTTCGTAGTACGTGATGAAATGTAAGTTGTTTGGCGTGTGCGTTGTGAGAAAAGGAGCGGAAAAACACGTTTTAACTTAAAAAATTATGCAATAGAAGTAAATGCGAACCTTTTTTATCTCGATAAATCTCGACCTCACTCGACGAGGCTCTTGCAAAGGCCACAATCATAACACTTATCAAATGAGCCCAAAATTTCTGGTTAATGTTATTCTTTGTACACATTCCCCTGATTCCATGACATCATTTACAAGAAAACAATAATGCTGTAATATGATTGGTGCGAAATACATACCCTAATGCGGCAATTTGACTGGCGCGAGATACATACCCTAATGCGGCGATCTGATTGGTGTGAGTAACATACCACTCTTCACGCTAACATAACGTTATTTTTTTTTCATTAAAAAGAAAATAACTCAATAAAACGTCCAATTAATTCTCTAACTACAAAACTGGTTCAGGAAAGTAACGTCAGTGACTCTCTCGTGATGAAATGAAAACATTCCTCATCTGCAGCTCCAGACAGCCATATACAAATACATCAGTATGCTTACAAACAGAATATCCACATTGTAGTCTATATGTTCTGGAAACTTTAGTTTTAACACATCTTTTTCAGATATTTCTCCAAATCTTTTGGCAGAACGTCTTGGCTTTTTTGGACTTTTCCCGGTCCTTTTGCATTCGTCTTTCAAATTATTTCTTTTGTTTAGCTTCATTACAAACTCCTGACTTTTTTCTGCAGCAAAACAAAAAAATTCATTAGTTAAGATGCCTAATCCATCAAAATGTATATCAACAGCTGAAATGTTCTTTCCGAGCCGGAGCTTCTACTAGTGCAGAGTGGCAAACAAGCGATCTCGTTTGGTTAAGGCAGAAATGTAAATACCACTCCGAGTATGGGTTGTAACGAAGGGATCTTTCTTGTTTCCGAATCCTTTTATTCGTGATCGCATTAAGTTTCAGTCTTGAGCCAGGGCATACATACAATCACACTCACCTCATTCCGGACACTCACTAAATCCATGAGCTTATCATTCTTAAAACTTATGCGTCCGAAATAAGATCACCAGCGGTGAAAGTTCAAGGGATTTGGCTCATCAAATATGCTGATTTTCAACATGACGGCCGTTCGAAACTACAGCAGGCTTTTTTACCTTTGTAAATTCCATGTTTGAAGGAAAAATAAGGACGATTTAACAGCGCCTCGGTGTCCATAGAATCTTGTCGCTGTTTTTCATTGCTGAAGCTGGAATTGAGCTATTTATGACGAAGGTTCGCATTGGAAAGGAAACTTTTTGTAACTGAGCTTAACTATTAATCGTGTACGTTGATCTGGTAATAGTACTGTCTTCTTTTATTTATATTTGTTTTTTATTAATCAAAGCTTTATCAATAGCACGACCAAATTTTATTTAAAGTGGGTCATTTTTTTTTGTTTTATTTTCCATATGAAATATTTACGTTTACTTTGAACAATATGACTTTGTTTGTCGCATGCGGATCGCTTGCAGTTTTTAAAGGCGGCTGTTGATTTGTCCTTTCGTAGTCGCAAAATGACTGGGTTTGATATCTTCACAGCTCCATGCTTCATTATGCTTACAGTTCTTGGATAATGAAAGTTTTGGCGAAAAGATTAGATTGTCTTTAGGATTACCGGGCTTTGTTTTAAAGTTTAGGACTCCAGCCACCATCAGAAACGTTGGCATTTTGTAACTGGAAAAATTGAAATGTTTTTGAAGTCTTTCACTTGCAAGTGTTTCCTTTAATTTTAAATTATCTTCAAGAGAGATTTGGAGTGAAAATGAATTAGCCGGCGCAAAAGGATAAACGGAAACGATCAGTTACGTTGAAAAACTGTGCCAACCCCTAAAATCCCATGAGTGACCAGGACAGAGTTTCTCCTTATAATATCTATACAATATTTAGCAGAAAAGTAGGGAGGATTTATCAAAATATCTAGTAGTGATTGCTAGTTGATCCAATACCAAGTTTTTCTAACTCATATCAGAAGAATTGTTTGGCAGACAGTAAGGAGAATTACTAATGAAATCTTGAGAGTGAAAACATTAACCAAAAAGTAGACAAATGAAGATCGAACCTATACTTGTATGTCCTACAGATGAAGTTTATGCCAGAAAAGAGTCAGAAAGATGTCAAGAACAAGGAAACACAATTGAACAGCAGGGTGTAGAACCATAAATTTTGAGGATGCCTGCTGGGGTACCCTGGCCTCAATATTTAACTCTCTTTGTAGTCAGTTTAGCAACTTTCCTGGCAGGAAGTCAGGTGGTACACTTGTACTACAGACCAAATCTGGTGAGATTGTTTTGTTGTGTTTATTTTGTGATTCATGACTATAAAAGGTAGAAGATCTTGATTGGAAAAACTTCCTTTTGATTTACCTACATTTCAGCAAGGTTTCCATTGTAATTTCTTTGCACTTCTTAAACAAAACTGGTCTGAAAGATGAGCTGAGTAACGTTTGTTTGTTTGCAGTCCAGAAACTTGACTCTTTCATCTCAAGATTTGTTTTTTTTTTATTCTCCTGAGCTGCTACATAAAACAGTTGTAAAGTAGCTCTGTATATATAACATTTTTTATAAAACTAAGTTAAATTATTCTTACTGCTTGCTTACTGAATGTTGCAGAGGAATTGTGGAGAAAAAAAAAATTTCATATTGAACACTTTTTGGACTTGATTGTCAAGTTTCAAGATACTGAGAAAAAGATGATAGAAATAATGGAAAAAAGTGAGAGATCATATCTGGTTTGTAATGTAACCAAAAATACAAAGAAGCACATACAGTTGTATCACTAATGATTAAAGAAACTATTCTTTTGTTGGCTAACACATGACAAACAGTTTTATTGTAATGCAGAGACAAACTTAAAATAATTTAGGAAAACTTTTTAAAAAAATTAATTAAAAAGAATCAAAAGGTTTAAATTGGAATAAAGAAATCCTCATAATATCCAACATTATGAGGGCAAAACAGTTCTAGTGACAAATGGCCACTTCAATTTTTGGGTAGTATGGAAAATATGAGAAAGTCATGAAATCTAAATAATGGATAAATGAAAGAGAGAATATCCTACGCCAGTCCTCGGGTGAAGATGACTGGGCTGACTAGGACTGGGTTCTAGACACTTCCTCTATCATTATCCTGGATACTGATTCCGATCCAGTGGAAGCGTCACCCAGTGTATAACCACTGAGACATTGTCCTACCCATAACTCCACAATAACCCTGCCCGGTGGAATGTTTTCACAGTATCCCTCAAATGATCTGTGATGAAGCAGATTGGGACTCCCAGATGGCCAACTGTTGTATACAACAGCCTCAATTGTCATTGGTCCACTGCATTCATTTCCATTAAACTTGAAGAACCACCGGTTGCATTTACCTGAAGTGCCATAGACTCTCATATTTCCCTGGAATGAGACTTAAATAGCTGTATCAGACTGCAACTTGTTAAATGAGCAATCCTATAAAAAATGCAGAGAAGACAGTCTTAGTGCAAAAGAAATGCTTTTTAAGAGTGTTATAGGAAATAATTTTATGATGACCTTGTACTTTTCCTGTCTGCAAGAATGCACAGAATTGTTAATGGATATTTTTAGTTTGGTGGCATTTCTCAAAAGTCACTTTCAGAGATGGCCATGACAAATTGGCTCTAACACTTAATTTCTTTTTCATTGCATTTTCTAGATATTTCTGTACCTTAATCTTTCCACTATCTCTATCATCATTCAAATTTTTCCACACACACTGTTTCCAGTTGGTCTGTGACACTGCACTATTCACGATTTCTCCTTTCTGTCCTTTAGATCCCTGCTCTCCTTTCACGCCCTTGATTCCTGGGGGTCCGCTGCTGCCACGTGACCCTTCATCACCTTTATCTCCTTTTGTTCCCATCATTCCAGGTGCACCATTTTTACCAAGTGACCCTGGATTTCCTTTTTGTCCTCTTGTTCCCGTCATACCTCTTGGTCCCTTGACACCAGGCTCCCCCTTAGCTCCATCTTTTCCTTGAGGTCCTTGCGGCCCTGGAGCGCCAGGAGTTCCCGGCATTCCTGGTATGCCATTCGATCCTGGAATTCCAGAAAATCCGTGAGCATAAACGGATTTCTGGAGAAAGAAAAAAACTTATAGTAATTGGATCGACGTACTTGATGTTTATTGATATTTACGTGTCCGCCGAAGTAGCACAGCAGTTTCTTCAGAAATTAATCACGTTGAGAATTTAGCTTCGTTTTAGATGAAACAGCTCGGAACATTGAATGATCTCACTGCGTTGTATGTCAAGCATTGATCTATTTTGTCTTTGAAAACTTATGATTGACGAGGGATTTATTTTGGGCTTAGCTTGGCAGACATGAGTGGTAAACTAAGGTATGACAAGTGAACGATTCATGAAGTACATGCGATTTTGTAGTAAATAATCGTAGATAAAGCATGCTAAAGAGTACCTCACATGAGTCTTTGTCAGCGCCAGCTTGTGGATTCTGTTGTTGAGGACTGGTGGTTGTTCCCAATGAACTTACTTCTGTTTTGGATGAGAAAATTAACAAGGCAGCGAGGATCAGAAGCTTCACCATACTCCGATAGTTACTTTGCATGAACAGTTCGTGTTCTATGACTGAAATATATATCTCCTTAAGTACGCGCCTATTTATATCCTAGAGCGATGGAGCTAGATGGTAAGGAAGTCTCAAGCTTCTCGAGGTCAAACACGGGTAAACAACTTAACTCTGATATCCTTATCACGTTTTTTAATGAAGCACGTACTCCTTACAAATACATAGAATTTCCCGGAAAAATCTTGGCAGTGAAATGTTCCTATTCTGATCAAACGTAACATTTTGAGGAGGCATTGAAATTTGATGAAGTCTGTGATCTTCGTTTGGCCTTTGAACGGTACACGCGTATTCTGCATCAATTCTTAAACCAAATACCGAGTATTAGACCTTTCTGACACAATGTGATAGGTTGTCATCTTCAAACTCCATTCATATGTTTTAATGATGGTGCAAATTTCACACGCGTCACGCTGCAAATCTTGTTAAACTGAAACAATGTTTTTGATTGAGGAAAATCGGGATTTTTTTTTAGTTATCTTGACGCGGCCAGTCATTAATATCACAGGAAACCGTGTTGTAATCAGAAAAATGCGGCAGCACAAAAGCTGAAGATCATCAGAAGACAACCAGCATGGTCGTGTTTATTACTTGGCATCTGAGGAAGATGATCGGTCACGAGCTCGCCTCCCATTCAGTTGCAGTGCAGGATGTATCATGTTCTTCATGGCTAGCGTGCGTATATCCAGATATGCCATGGATACAGGCGGGAGGTTTGGAGAGCACGAAGCCAAGATCATCCTAAGCTTCTAGACCAAGAAAATTTTCCAGACTAAAGCTGTTTTGACAGAAAAGCTAAATTTACTGCTTAGAGGCGAAAAAAACGTACCAATTTCTTGCAAGATTCGCGTAATAGATTTACCATGCTTGAATAGTAGCTTTGTTTACTATTATGAAAATTGTGTGCGATTTAAAACAAAATCTCCTATAGGACGATACTTTTAAGACATGTCAACGCTTTAATTAGCTTAGATGTTCAGTATGGCGTTCTTGAAGAACTTAAGCGCATTATAGGGTAAAGTGATTTAATTATCCGTCTTCCTGTACATACGCTCATGTATGATCAGCGTATGCTCATTAAAAGTGGCATTTAGTTTCAGATTAGTTTCGAGTAACATTGTTTTCGAGCGTCCTCCCCTGGAAACATGGCGCTGTGCCAAACATCATGCTTAGAATTTTTCAATAAGCTCAAAACAACAAGGTGATTCTTTAGTAGTGCACTACGCGCCATGCACTGCGCATCATGCACTGCGCAAAGATATCACGTAATCAGTTGAATAAGTGCGTGCACTCCCCCTCCCTCCCCCTCCCCCATTCCTACTATCAGAAGGAAAAACTCGCAAATTCTTTAAGTGGGAGCAAGAAAAGCAGTTTCATTATGGCCATTACTCAGGCTACAGAATTCATCTTTTGTTAAAGTGTAACACCAAAGGGAGTTTTTTTTAACTTACATAATTATTTCGGCATTATCCTCGATGCTCTTGCTATTATAATTATGCAGTTATGCTATCAAAATTATGCACTGAATACAGGTGAAAAATTTAATCTTACCTTCAGGAGCGTTGCAAACATTCACTCCAATTACTTCGCATGCCGCTCCAAAAGGCGGGAAAACCGATACAATTTTCCCACTTGTGGAAAAAAACCGTATTACCCTTCTGATTAGTCAAACGATATTTTTAACTAATGAGAAAAATTCCATGACTAATGGGATTGCTTTTCATCAAAGAAAAACGATTTTTATTCGGTACGCGAGTTTACACTGAGGAAATTCCAGTACTTCTTTAATACGTTAGACTACGCTATGCAGATTTGTATAATACTGCAGCCTCCTGCATGGCAAGAGTGATGTTTAGTTTAATGAAAATTTCATTTCACAGCTCATTTTTTGACTAAAGGAAATATAATAGATTCTATTTTTATGAGTTTAGGCTCTTTGTGCTTGTTCGCCCTTAATCATTTTGTATTTACTTTTTATCGACAGTAAATCACAGATGTGCCACCAGATTCAAAGGACTTACCAGAACAAACAGGATGGAGGAAATATGTCTCTTTAAAGAGAGACTAGTAAATAAAAATTAATTGAAAACACGCTAACTCAGTTGCGAGACTGTGATAAACATTTTTCTTTGTGTTTAAGGGACAACTCTTTTTTCTTCATCAATGTGTTTGAAGGGTTTCATGACTATTTTGCAAGAACTGAGAAAAAGACGAAGAAAATGATGATAAACAGTGAGAGTATCCCTCGATATATCAAAATATCAAGTAGCGATTGTTAGTTGATCCAATACCAAGTTCTCCAAACTCACATCACAAGAATTGTCTGGCAGACAGAGGAGAGTTACCAATGAGATCTTGGGAGTGAAAACGTAAACCAAAAAGTTGACAAATAAAAATCAAACCTCGTACTTGCATGTGCTACAGATGAGATTGTTTTGTTGTGTTTATTAAATTAAAGCAAGGTTTACTTTGTAATGTGTGGCACTTCTAAGACGGTGGCAAAGGGTTCTTGCATGACGTGTGATGGCCCCAAAACTTGCAGGGTGACGCGTGATTGAACCCAAATTATCCGCGTGACGCGGGACCGGACATCACAACTTGATGCGTGGTTTTCTATTTTACAAGTGCGTGACGCGTGATTTACAAAACTTACTAATTAGATATCCGAGATAGTGAACGCTCTTTGGCCAAGAGGAAACCAATCATTCAAAGTAAATAGAGTCTTACAAAGATCAATAAACCATGGCAGCCGTCACACTGTTTTCTGGTATTTTCCGTCCTTTGCTGACCTTCGCCTGACCTTTGATGTCTTTGATCTTCCTGGTAGGTCCAAACAATCGTAACACAACATGCATAAGTTAATGTAGTCAACATTTGCTCAAGGCCTATGTTCTCCAGTGTTCTTTCAACAAGTAAATCATCTTTACTTGTCTAACAGAAAGCAACATGACTAGTGAAACGCAATTCATTCCAGGATAAAATCGTTGGATGCAATATAATTTTCAATACCACATCCGATAGGTTGAAATCTTACAGTGTTAGCTTAGTGTACTTACTCCTTTCTACATGACGCGTGATTGATTAAAAAAAAAATTACCCGTGATGCGTGATTCGATAGAAAAATTCAACGTGATGTGTTATTGGAACCCCCCCCCCCCTTGCCACCCTCTTCTAAAGCAAAACTTGAGTGAAAGATCAGCTGAGTTATATTTGTTTATAAGCAGTCTAGAAACTTGACTCTTTATTCTCAAGATTTGTCTTTTTTTGTTCTCCTGAGCTGTCACATAAAACATTTGTAAATGGAATTGACTGTAGCTTTCACTAATTGTCAATAATCAACTAGAACTACAATTTTTAGGGGAAGTTCTTTGTTAGCGGAAATTTTCCTCTTTCAGGCATGGAAACCCCGATCGAAAGGGGGAAAAATTAGAATGACCTATTCCAAGTTGTCTTTCTTGAACTTCACAATCAGCTTCCAACTGAATTCTCCTCTGCTCTATGTTACAAAAAGTGACTAAGGACTGGGAATGAGTAAGGATTAAACAGGAAAATGGGAATAAGATGTTTTATCAACCTACCTAATTGGATTCAGATTTTATGAGTAGGATCAAGTATAAAAAGCGATTAAACAAAGGGGGTTTATTTTATAGTCATGAATTTTAAACATCTACAATAATTCCTTATTTTGCTCACTAAAACTTTTTTCAAACTCGCTAATACAACAGACTTCTTCTGCAAGGTAAGAGTAATGTTTTGCTTAATTAAACCGTCAATATACATCTCATCGTTTGACTAAAAGGAAAATTATAGATACCCTTGTTATGAGCTTAGGCCCTCTGTGCTCACTGACCCTTTGACATTTTGTATTCACTTTTTATTTTAAGGGAAATTCCAGATGTGCCCCCAGATCCGAAGGAGTTTCTATAACAAACAGGATGGAGAAAATATATTTCTTTAAAAAGAAACTAGATACAATTCAATTAAAAAAATATTGAATCAGTTGTGAGATTCCATGATAAACATTTTCCCTTCAATTTGTGATCACGCAACAAATCTCTTGTCTTCATTTAATGTTTAAAAAGGGTTTCAAGACTATTTTTCATGATACTGAGAAAAAGATGATAGAAATAATGGAAAAAATTTAGAGATAACATTTGGTTTACACATAAAGTTGTATCACTAATGATTAAAGAAACTATTATTTTGTTTACTAGCACATGTTAAACAGTTCTATTGCAAAGCAGAGACAAACTCAAAATAATTCAGGAAAAAATTTTCAGGAGGAGAAGTGTCTTAACCGGTACATAGCATAAACTAAAAATTACAGGTATCACAGAGGTTATTGGTTCAAATCCCGTACAGGCCTGAATTTTTTTCAGGCCTTATTTTCACTACTGCTTAAGTAGTGTTTATTATTGCGAAGATCGCTTTCATTTTCACGTCTTTATCCGCAGTTCAAATATATGACTTTCATATATTCACAGTCGTTTAAAAGTACATGTAATTAAAAAGAAACAGAAAGTTTAAATTGGAGTCAAGGAATCCTCCTAACATCCAACGTTATCAGGGCAAAAGAGTACCTGTGACAAACAATAACTCAATTATCGGGCGGTATGGGAAATGTAAGAAAATCATGAAATCTAAATAATGGATGAATGGAAAATAAAATATTCTGCTCCAGTCCTCAGGTGAAGATGTCAGGGTTGATTAGGACTGGGCTCTGGACACTTCCTCTATCATTATCCGGGATACTGATTGCCATCCAGTAGTAGTATCACCCAGTGTATAACCACCGGGACACTGTCCTACCCATAACTCCACAGTAACCCTGCCCTGTGGAATGTTTTCACAGTATCCCTCAAATGATCTGTGATGAAGCAGATTAGGACTCCCAGATGGCCAATAGTTGTACACAACAGCCTCAATTGTCATTGGTCCACTGCATTCATTTCGATTAAACTTGAAGAACCACCGATTGCATTTAACTGAACTGCCATAGACTCTAGTATTTCCCTGGAATGAGACTTTAATAGCTGAATCAGCCTGCAGCTTGTTGAATGAGCAATCCTATAAAAATGCCAAGAAGACAGTGTTAGTGCGAAAAAAATGCTTTCTCGGGGTGCTATTGGACACAATTTAATGAGGACCTTGTAGTTTTCCTGCTACCAGAAAGCATAGAATTGTTAATTTATATTTTTAAATCGTAGGCATTTCTCAAAAGTATTTTCAGAGATGGCCACGACAAATTGGCTTTAACGCTTAATTTATTTTTATTGCATTTTCTAGATACTTCTCTACCTTAATCTTTCCACTATCTCTACCATCATCATTTTTCCACACACACTGTTTCCAGTTGGTCTGTGACACTGCACTATTCACGATTTCTCCTTTTGATCCCTGCTCTCCTTTCACGCCCTTGATTCCTGGGGGTCCACTGCTGCCACGTGACCCTTCATCACCTTTATTTCCTTTTATTCCCAGCATTCCAGGTGCACCATTTTTACCAAGTGACCCTGGATTTCCTTTTTGTCCTCTTATTCCCGTCATACCTCTCGGTCCCTTGACACCAGGCTCCCCCTTAGCTCCATCTTTTCCTTGTTGTCCTTGCGGCCCTGGGGCGCCAGGAATTCCCGGCATTCCTGGTATGCCATTTGATCCTGGAATCCCAGAAAATCCGTGAGCAAAAACGGATTTCTGAGAAAGAAGAAAGAACTTATAGTAATTGGATGAACATACTTGATGTTAATTTGTACGCCTAAGTAGTACAGCAATTTCTTCATAAACTAATCACGTTGAGAATTATGCTTCGTTTTAGGAGAAAAAGCTCAGAACATTGAATGATTTCATAACGTTGTAGAAAAGAAAACTTTTTCCAGCAATGTTCTACTTTGTTTTGGAAAACTTATGATTGATGAGGGATTTGTTTTGCGCTTAACTTGGCAGACATGAATGGTAAACTTTAAAGGTATGACAAATGAACGCTTCATCAAGTACATGCGATTTTGTAGTAAATAATCGTGGATAAAGCATGCTTAAGAGTACCTCACATGGGTCTTTGTCAGCGCCAGTTTGTGGATTGTGTTGTTGAGGACTGATGGTTGTTCCCAGGGAACTTATTCCTGGTTTGGATGAGAAAAATAACAAAGCAACGAGGATCAGAAGCTTCGCCATACTTCGATGGTTGCTTCGCGCAAATGCTTTGTGCTCGCTGTAAAATATCTCCTTATGTACGTGCCTATTTATATCCTACTGAGTGTCATTATAAAATAAATATCTTAATTAAAAAGCGCTGGAGCTAAGTGATAAGGATGTCTGAAGCTACTTGAACTCGCACACCAGGTCAACAACTTGACTGTGATATCCTTATCAGTTCACCAATGAAGCACGTACTGACCAACAGACCAATGTTTCCCTCATGTTCAGGAAATTACGCAGAAAAATCTGGGCCACAAAATCTACTTACTCTGATCAAACGAGAAATATTGAGAAAAAAAGTTCGATATGGTCTGTGATATGTTGTTCATTTGTCCTTAGCTCGATTTCGGTATTTATGTTATTGGATCCATTCTAAAATAGTATAGACATTTGCAAATACCGCATGATAGACTCAAACTTATCATGAGGTGGTGTGTCAGATTTTGTCGACATTTCAATGATGGTACAAATTGCAGACCCGTCTCAATGATATCAAATTTAACTGAAACTTTAATGTGTTTGATTGAATTCATTCTGAATTACGGGAGGCTAGGGCACTTAGACAAACGCCATCGCGCAGCATTCAAGACCTTGTAGGTGATCACGTTCAAGGACAAACGCAGCTGACACCGTAATCGCACCACCGTATGAACACTTACTATGCGTCCATCGACATGGTGCTGACCGAGCTTGAGCCCAGGTTCAGCGCAAAAGAATAGGAAATAATCTGTGCTTTGGGAAATATCTGTCATAGTAAAACACCTGATAAAGAAAACTTTTTCCGCGATGCTAAATTTTACAAAATCGACGACGAGATTATGGAAGCCGAGAAGAAAATGTACGCGAGCTTTCGTCGTGTGCACGGATTAGGCCACATGACTGTTTCAGAGATGCTAGGGGTAATGCATGAGAATGATCTGTTTGATACGTTCTCAGAGTGCTACAAAGTAGTAAATATTCAATGATACCTACTATATCGTGTTCCACAGAACTGCCATTCAGTCCGTTGCCGGCGCTGATTGAAAGCTTACCTCTGTAGCACCATGGAGCAACAACGTGTCAGTAAAATCTCACTTATTAACATTAAAAGGGTATATGCCAACTCTGTAGTCAAAAATGGATCTTATCATTGATATCTTCAGCCGTCGAAATACTGTTTCATAACAATTTGGGCAACTTGCAAAAATGTTTTTGGGCAAGTGATTTACTTCCTCTCCTCCTCCCCCCCCCCCTTGGCTAAAAATGGCACGAACCGGCACCCATGGTGCCATTGGTTAGTTTGACCCGCTATTAAATATCACAGATAACAATGTTTTAATTCACAAACTGCGGCAGGATAAAAGCGGTCAAGCCCTTACATGTTCAGGAGAGCGTTCTGTGGACTCTGAAGCGCCTGATGTTATGTTTATTTCTTCCATGGTCGATTACTGTATTCATGCTTATATTGAGGGGGTGAGATATATTTTCATCGCCAAAATCTCCTTTTGTGTATTAATGGTACAAGTTGCAGACTCGTTTCGTGTAGTTGAAATTAAGAACGATAATTTCTACAAGACTTAGAGGTTTTTTATCAGCGTTAGGGTGACATCTGTTACCATTATCGGATAACGGAATTTATCTCTAGAATGTAAACCTTCAATGCTTCAGATTATTTTGCACACAGTCTTTATGTGCTGCTATCTCGCTGCAATGAATAATTACAATAGTTGTATCAGACCGCAGCTCGTTAAATGAGCAATCCCGTAAAATATGCCGAGAAGACAGGCTCAGTGGAAAACGAACATTTTTCTTATCAGCCTAAGGGTCACATCTGTTTTTTTCGGATAACGGAGTTTATCTCTAGAATGTAAGCCGCCTTGAATGCTTCAGATTATTACACAGTCTTATGTGCCGCTATCTCACATGGCGTACAGGTGTGGTGTCAACTTCCAAGGTTAAGAAAACACAACCAAGTGAGAATATCTTTGCATATCTTTTTGATAGTAACTAGTAAGGGTTGGTTAGGGTTAGAGTTTTAACAGCCAGACATGTTACATAAGATAAGAAGATTATGAAATCCAAGATTCATGGTACCTTCCACCCAGTTTGCTCAAGCTATTTCCCCTATATGTTAAAATACTTTTCTAACTGAGCATCTAATTAAACTGGCGTAGTAACGTGCTTGATTTAGGACAAAGGTGATAGCATTCGTTAGCTTGACCCCTTTTTCAAATATCACAGATAACAATTTTTTTTATCAGAAAATGCAGCAGTAAAAGGTGGCCAAGCCCTTAGATATTCAAAGAGGGTAATTTTGTAACTGTGGTACTGCGTCGGTGAGGGGTATTACAGGATTATTTGGTTTTATCAGCTGAACTGATAACGTAAATTGGCCAGTGTAAAGAGTTTCAAAAGCATCTGCCACGTGAACAACCTACCTAACATTTATCTCCTTTTAATCCTGTCATTCCAGGTGCACCCCGGTCACTACGGTCCCTTGACACCAGGCTCCCCCTTAGCTCCATTTTTCCTTGTTGCCTTTGAAGCCCTGGGGCGTCAGGAATTCCTGGCATTCCTGGTATGCCATTCGACCCTGGAATCCTAGGAAAACCGACAGCAAAACAAAATAGATATCTGGATCTCTAGATTTCTCTTTCAGCGGTATCCTACATTCTTTCTTTTTTAAGATTTCCCTATTTTTTTCTTTCCACAAATTAAAATTAGATGATTTCACTAACTCAAGAGCAAATAAACGACATTTTGAAAATTTTGAGCAGATTTTGTCGACAGTAACCTTAACTTAATCTCCCAGGAATATAAAAAATTAAGGGGAATTTTAGAACTGAACCTCTTCAGAACGTTTTTTTAATTTAAATGAACAAGTGATGAAATATTGAAAATGGATACATTAAATAATTTACCCACAGACTCTGATTATTTGCTCCCGCATAGTGGTATCCCTTGTAAGCTGCCATCAAACCTGGATGTATTCCAACCTGCAAGAGAAAGGAGCGATAAATTTGTCCAAAATAAGTGTACATATTAGTTATCTAGTAACCGCTATGTATAACTAAACGTCCAACTTAATCTCCAACTCTAACACTAGTCTAGGAAAGTAATGTCAGAGACTCTCGTGCTGAAATGAAAATGTTTCTGATCCACTTTTTTTCTCTGAAGCTCCAGACCGCCATATTAGATGCATCAATATGCTTTCAAACAGAATATCTAGGTTGTAGTTCAGCTGTTCTGGAAGAAGCTTTAGTTTATACACATCTTCAGATATTTCTATCAATCTTTTCACCGGACGTCTTCGCTTTTCAGGACTTTTTCCAGTGTTTTTTGCCTTCATCTTTCAAATTATTTGTTTCTTTAGCTTTATCATAAACTCCTGACTTTTTGTGTTGCAAAACAAAACAAAAAAATTATAAGTTAAAATGCCTAACCATTAAAACGTACATCAACAGCTGAAATTTTTTTTCTGAAAGTTTTTTGGGTGCAGAGTGGCACACAAGTGATATAGTGTGGTTAAGGCAGAAATACAAATACCACTCACAAGTTTGGGCTGTAACAAAGGGATTCCTCTTGATTCTGCATCCTGTTATCCGCGATGGCGTGCAGGTTTAGTCGTGAACCAGGGCAAACATACATACACACCCACCATACCCATAAGCTTATTGTTCATATCGCTCTTTTCTGGTTTACAAGAAAGTTATGCGCCCGTAGTAAAATAACCAGCGGTAAAAAGTTCAATGTGATTGGTATGTCAAATACTCTGACTTTCAACATGGCGGCAGTTTGAAACTACAGCTGGCTTTTTTACCTTTGAAATTTCCATGTTTGATGAAAAAATAAGGACGATTTAACGGCGCCTCGGTGTCCATAGATTCTTGCTGCTGTTTTTCATCGCTGAAGCTGGAATTGAGCTATTTATGATGAAGGTTTGCATTGGAAAGGAAACTTCATGTAAGTAAGCTTAACTATTAATCGTGTACGTTGATCTGGTAAAAGTACTGTCTTCTTTTATTTCTATTTGTTTTTTATAAATCAAAGCTTTATCAACAGTACGAACAAATTTTATTTAAAGTGGGTCATTTTTGTAGTATAATTCTCCATATGAACTATTTACGTCCACTTTGAATAATAAGACTTTATTTGCCACGTGAGGATCGCTTGCAGTTTTGAAGGCGGCTGTTGATTTTTCTGTTCGTTGTCACAAAATGACTGGGTTAGATTTCTACAAAGCCCTATACTTCATTATGCATACAGTTCTTGGGTAATAAAATAATGGCGAAAAGAGTAGACAGTCTCTGTGATTATGGTTTTTTTTTTAAAGTATAGGACTCCAGTCACCGTCAGAAACGTTGGCATTTGCCAAGTGGGAAAAATTGAAATGTTTTTGAAATCTTTCACTTTTATGTGTCTCCTTTAATTTTGAATTATCTTAGAGAGAGGTTTGGTGAAAAACTGAATCAGCTGACGCAAAAGGGTAAACGGAAATGATAAATTCTGTTAAAAAAAACTTTGCTGACCCTTTAATTCCCATGAGTGACCAAAACAGAGTTTCTCCTTACAATATCAATACAATATCAACAAGAAAAGTGACGAGAATATATCAAAATATTAAGTAGTGATTTTTAGCTGATCTAATACCAAGTTCTCCAAACTCACATCACAAGAATTGTATGGCAGACAGTAAAGAGAATTACTAATGAGATCTTTAGATTGAAAACGTTAACCAAAAAGTTGATAAATGAAGATTAAACCTCTTACTTGTATGTCCTACAGATGAATTTTATGTCAGAAAAGAGTCAGAAAGATGTCTAGAAAGAAGAAAACAAGAACAAGAAAACGCAAATAAACAGCAGAGTGTAGAACCATAAATTTTGAGGATGCCTGCTGGGGTATCCTGGCCTGGATATTTAACTTTCTTTGCAGTCAGTTTTGCAACTTGCCTAGCAGGAAGTCAAGTGGTGCACTTGTACTACAGACCAAATCTGGTGAGATTGTTTTGTTGCGTTTATTTTATGGTTCATGAGCATAGGAGATAGAGGATCCTGACTGGAAAAACTACCCTTCAATTTTTCTACATTTCAGCAAGGTTTCCCTTTTTGCACTTCTAACACAAAACTTGTTGGAAAGATCAGCTGAGTTATATTTTTTTCTTTACAGTCCAGAAACTTGACTCTTTCTTCTCATATTTATTTTTTTTATTTTCCTTAGCTGCTAAATTATATAACATTTGTCATAAAGCTCAGAGAATTAAGAGTTGTATCTTGTATTTGATAAGTTTAATTAAGTACTACTTGCTTACTGAATGATACAGTGAAAGTATGGAGAGGAATTTAACATTAATCACTTTTTGGAATTGATTGTAGGTTTAACTGATTGTGAATAATTAACTAGAGCTGCCATTTTTAGGTGAAGCTCTTTTTTAACAGAAATTTTCCACTTTCAGGCATGGAAACCATGATCAAAAGGGGATAAAGTTGTTATGAAAAAGTTTTGATTCTGTCAAAAGCTGACCTATTCCAAGTTGCCATTCATGAAGTACACAATCAGCTTCCAACTGAATTCTCCTCTGCCCTATGTTACAAAAAGTGACTAAGGACTGGGAATGAGTAAGGATTACACAGGAAAATGGAAATAATAAGTTTTATCAACTTACCAAATTGCATTCAGTGAGATCAGGTAAAGGACAATACAAAGTGATTTAGCAAAGGAAGTTTATTTTATAGTCTACAATAAAACCTCACTTTGGTCAGAAAACTGTGTACTTTCTTTCAAACTCTTCAAAATATTTCAAAATCTGTAATACATCAGACTTCTTCTGTAGGGCAAGAGTAATGTTTTGCTTAATGAACTGCAACTTTACATCTCATCTTTGACTAATAGAAAAATGATAGGTACAGTTGTTATGTGCTTGGGCTGTCTGTGCTCACTGACCCTTTGACATTTTGTATCTACTTTTTATTTTATGGAAATTTTAGATGTACCACCAAATCCAAAGGACTTTCTAGAACAAACAGGATGGAGAAATAAATTTCCATAAAAAGAGACTTAGGTGTATACCATCTAATTGAAAAATATTGAATCAGTAGTGAAATTCCATGATGAACATTTTCCTACAAGTTGTGATCACACAACAAATCTTTTGTCTTCATTTAATGTCTTTAAAGTGTTTCAAGACTATTTTTCAAGATACTGAGAAAAAGGTGATAGAAATGATGAGAAAAAATGAAAGATCATATCTGGTTTGTAATGTAACCAAAAATACACAGAAGGAAATACAGTTGAATCACTAATGATTAAAGAAACTTCCATTTTGTTGACAAACACACGTCAAACAGTTTTAATGTAATTCAGAGACAAACTTAAAATAATTCAGGAAAATATTTTCAGGAGGGGACGAAAGTATCTACTGGCACATGGCATAAACTAAAAAGTACAAAGAAAAGTACATGTGATTAAAAAGAAGCATAAGGTTTAAATTGGAATAAAGAAATTTTGGGTGGAAAATGTGAGAAAATTATAAATCCAAAATAATGGATAAATAATGGATGAATGAAAAAGAGAGTATTCTACTCCAGTCCTCAGGTGAAGTTAACAGGGCTGATTAGGACTGGGCTCTAGGCACTTCCTCAATCATTATCCGGGATACTGAGTTCCATCCAGTGTAAGCATCACCCACTGTTTCAGTAGGACAATGTTCTACCCATAACTCCACAGTAACCCTGCCCTGTGGAATGTTTTCACAGTATCCCTCAAATGATCTGTGATGAAGCAGATTAGGACTCCCAGATGGCCAACTGTTGTACACAGCAGCCTCAATTGTCATTGGTCCACTGCATTCATTTCCATTAAACTTGAAGAACCAACGGTTGCATTTCCTTGTACCAACGACTCTTATATTTCCCTGGAATGAGACTTTAATCGCTGTATCAGATTGCAGCTTGTTGAATAAGCAATCCTAAAAAAAATGCCATGAATACAATCTTAGTGCAACAAAATGCATAAAAGAGTATTATAGGAATTAATTTAATAATGCCCTTGTACTTTTCCTGCCTTCAAGAATGAACAGAATTGTTACTTGCTGTTTTTAGTTTGGCTGCATTTCTCAAAAGTCTCTTTCAGAGATGGCCATGACAAATTGGCTCTAACACTTAATTTTATTTTTCATCGCATTTTCTAGATATTTCTGTACCTTAATCTTTCCTCTATCTCTATCATCATTCAGATTTTTCCACACACACTGTTTCCAGTTGGTCTGTGACGCTGCACTATTCACGATTTCTCCTTTCTCTCCTTTAGATCCCTGCTCTCCTTTCACACCCTTGATTCCTGGCGGCCCACTGCTGCCACGTGACCCTTCATGACCTTTATCTCCTTTTATTCCCATCATTCCAGGTGCACCATTTTTACCCAGTGACCCTGGATTTCCTTTTTGTCCTCTTGTTCCCGTCATACCTCTCGGTCCCTTGACACCAGGCTTCCCCTTGGCTCCATCTTTTCCTTGTTGTCCTTGCGGCCCTGGAGCGCCAGGAACTCCCGGCATTCCTGGTATGCCATTCGATCCTGGAATCCCAGAAAATCCGTGAGCAAAAATGGATTTCTGAAAAAGAAGAAAGAACATATAATCATTGAATGGATGTACTTGATGTTTATTGATATCTACGTGTCCGCCGAGATAGCACAGCAGTTTCTTCAGAAGCTAATCATGTTGAGAATTTAGCTTCGTTTTAGGAGAAACAGCTCGTAACATTGGATGATCTCTTACCGTTGTGGAGATATTCCTAAAAGAAAACTTTTTCAAGCAATGTTCTCCTTTGTCTTTGAAACTTATGATTGATGAGGGATTTTTTTTTTGCTTTGCTTGGTAGACATGAATGGTAAACTGAGGTATGACAAATGAACGCGTCATGAAGTAAATGCGATTTTGTAGTAAATAATAGTGGATAAAGCATGCTTAAGAGTACCTCACATGGGTCTTTGTCAGCGCCAGCTTGAGGATTCTGTTGTTGAGGACTGGTGGTTGTTCCCATGGAACTTGCTCCTGTTTTGGATGAGAAAAATAACAAAGCAGCGAGGATCAGAAGTTTCGCCATACTTCGATGGTTGTTTCGCACGAATGCTTTGTGGTTGCTGTAAAATATCTCCTTATGTACGTGCCTACTTATATCCTACTGAATGTCATTAAATGCAAACTGTTAGTTATCATGTTAAAATGACAACCTTAATTAAAGAGCGCTGGAGCTAAATGATAAGAATGTCTGAAACTACTCGAACCCACACACCTGGTAAACAACTTGACTATGATATCCCTATCAGTTCACTAATGAAGCACGTACTGACCGACAGACCAATGTTTCACTCAGATTCAGAGGAATTACGCACAAAAATCTGGGCCACAAAATCTACCTACTCTGATCAAACAAGAAATTTTGAGAAGGAAAGTTCGATATGGTCTGTGATATGATATGTTCAGCTGTCCTTAGCTCGATTTGGTATTCATGTTATTGGATCCATTCCAAAACAGTATAAACCTTTTTGAACGCCGCGTGTTAGACTCAAACTTATCATGAGGTGGTGTGTTCAAAATTTGTCGACATTTAATAGTGGTACAAATTACAGACCGTCTCAGTGATATCAAATTTGACTGAAACTATAATGTGTTTGATTTAAGAAACAGGTGATAGCACCCAGTTGCAAACCCCCCCTCCCCCTCCCTCTCCCAATTTTTGGGCAACTCAGATCTTTTGGGCAGCAAGAGAAACTTTGGTAAAGCCAATTTTTACTGAAGTCTCTATGTTTCGTTTCATCTTTTTTTCTCTTTGAAAGAGAAATTTTTTATTTTAAACTTAAGTAGGCGTGGTAAAGCTAGATAATTCATCTTCGGACTGTGAGTGCTGAGAGAAATTCTAAGCAACACTTATAATCAGTGCCGATATCGTCAGTGGAAGACGATCGATGTCATCTGCAGTTCTAGAAATACCGACATGACCTTACAGACCGTAGGCCAGTGTCGTAGTGAAGAAAGTTTCAACAATGGAAGGCAAATTCTGTTAGGAATGGGTCTGAAAACGAAGAGTCTGATATCATGTTTATTTTTTCTATGGTCGATTACGGTTTTTTTTACTCATATTGAGGCGGTGAGATATATTCTCATCTCCAAAATCTGTTTTTGTTTATTAATGGTACAAATAGCAGACCATAATTACCACTATTTTAGGTGTTTCATTTTTCTACAAGATTTAAAGGTTTTTTTTAACAGCGTAAGAGTCATATCTGTTACTGTCTTCGGCTAACAGAATTTATCTCTGGAATGCAAGCCTTTAATCCTTCAGATTATTTCTCACACAGTGTTATGTACCGCTATCTCGCTGGAATGAGACTTTAATAGCTTTATCAGACTGCAGCTTGTTGAATGAGTAATCCTATAAAAAATGCCGAGGACAGTCTTAATGCAGAAAAATGTTTGATAAGGGTGTTCAAGAAATAATTTGATGATGACCTTGTACTTTTCCTGCCTGCAAGAATGCACAGAATTGTTAGTTGGTATTTTTAGTTTGGCGGCATTTCTCAAACGTCTCTTTCAGAGATGGCCATGACAAACTGGCTCTAACGCTTACATTATTTTTCATTGCATTTTTTCGATATTTCTGTACCTAAATCGTTCCTCTATCTCTGTCATCATGCAGATTTTTCCACACATACAGTATCCAGTTGATCTGTGACAATGTACTATTCACGCTTTTAAATATCACAGATCACAGCGTTGTAATTGACAAACTGCAGCAGGATAAAAGCGGTCAAGCCCTTTGATATTTAGGGAGCGTTTCTGCGGACTCTGAAGCGCCTGATATCATGTTTATTTGTTCTATATATGGTCGATTACGGTATTCATACTTATATTGAGGCAGTGAGATATATTTTGTGTATTAATGGTGCAAATTGCAGATTCGTCTTTGTGAAGTTAAAATTAAGAACGATACTTTTGTGTCTCTTTTTGGTATGTTCTCGAAACTAATGTTTTTATAATTACCACTAATTTAGATGTTTGATTTATCTAAAATACTTTTTTTATCAGGGTTTTTTTTATCAGCGTAAGGGTCACATCTGTTACTTTTAACGGATAACGGAATTAACTCCAGAAAGTAAGCCTTCGATGCTTCAGATTACTTTTCACAGTCTTATGTGCCGCTATCTCACATAGAGAACAGTTGTGGTGTCATTTTCCAAGGTTAAGAAAACACAACCAAGTGAGAATATCTTTGCATATCTTTTTGGTGATATTAGTTAGTGAGAGTTAGTCAGGGTTAAAGTTGTAGCAGGAAGACATGTTACATAAAATGAGAAGATTTTGGGATCCAATATTCATGGTGCCTTCCACACAGTTTGCTCAAGAGATTCCCCCAAACGTTCAAATACTTGTCTAACTGAGCATCTAATTAAACTGGCGTAATAACGTGTTTGATTTAGGAAATAGGTGATAGCATTCGTTAGCTTGACCCCTGTGTTTTAAGCAGCAAAATGCAGCAGGAAAAGGAGGCCAAACCTTTAGATGTTCAAAAAGGGTAATTTTGTAACTGTGATACTGCGTCGGTGAGGGGTATTGCAAGATAATTTGGTTTTATCCACTGAACTGATAATGTAAATTGGCCACCTTAAAGAGTTTCTAAAGCATCTACCACCAAAACAACCTACATTACGATTACTTTATTTTAATCCTTTCATTCTAGGTGCACCATTATCACCACGTGACCTATCATTTCCTTTTTCCCCTCTTCTCCCCGTCATGCCTCTCGGTTCCATCGGTTCGGCTCCATCTTTTCCTTGTTGTTGTTGCGGCCCTGGGGCGCCAGGAATTACTGCATTCCTGGCATGCCATTCGATCCTGGAATGCCAGAATATCCTTGAGCAAAGATGGATATCTGATAAGAAAAAAAAGTATATATAATGATTGGGTGTACGTACTAGATGTTCATTGCTATATTTGCTTGTCTGTTCAGACAGCGCAGCAATTTCTGTTGGATGGTGATGCAAAATATTTTCGCCAGAACAAATAAATTTTTCACCTGACGAATGCACCTCGGAGCAGTGAATATTCCCATAATATTACCACAGGCAGACAACCCTGCGGGTTTGAGGCCGCATGACGTCAGTTATTTGATACACTAGTTGGACTCTTACATTGTTTTTAATTTGCAGCGGTCGATCTCGGCAAGACGCAAGTGATCCCGAGAAATGTTTCAGAAATGCCGCAAATCATAACATTTCTTCCCTAAAATCCGCTTAATGACAATCAGATAAATAAAATTAACTTACCTTCCTTTTTCTGTGTTGTCTCGAGTGATTTTGCAGGGTTTTGAGACGGTTAATTCCCCACTTTGCACTGATGCCCCTTCAAAGGCAGGAAACATTAGCCAATCGGAACGAAGCTACTACTGACAGCTTCGTTCCGATCGGCTAATGTTTTTCCGGTTGCGGAACGGAAGTTGTAAAATAGCCAAAGGGGAGGACTGGTTTGTACTGTCTTTCGACCGACACACTTTGCACTGGCGTGGGGAGGGTCGGGTGAAATCTGAGCTCGGTTAGTGATTTATTTAAATTGTAATACGGTTAGTCGAAGGCTTATGATCGACCTCTTCAGTGCACATTATGTGTCAACGGCGGATGATGAGCGAATGTCGGAAATAAGGCAGGCTTTTTAGGTAGTTAGAGGCGGGCAATTGTACTAATTTTTGGCTTGGCTCTTACACGTTTATCGAATTTTAACGCGCCCCAAGCTGGGTGGTGAGCGACGTTTGGAAGCGGAAGAAATTCGGCGAAGTTCTTTGGGCTTTCTGCCCAGACGGTCCTGGAAGTTGCACGCCTTGTTTTTCCTTTGCGCGCATACTTTGTGTTCTCTGTGCAATATCTTCTTAAGCATGTATGAAATATTTTCATGATAATTACTCCCATGGTTATGAGAAAAGTGCTAAAACATGTTTCTGTTTTTACAAATTAAAATGGTCAGTTACCATACTATTGATTGCAAGAAATGAATTGGATTTTCAACAAACGCTGCCCTCGTATAAATTAAACGCCGCACTCGAATTCCGAAAAAAGTAATAAATGCCACGGCGTATAATCCAATTAATAATGTACAGGAAAAATTTACGCGCTTCTGATTGGCTGAAAACGATTGCACTCTAATGTAACACACGTGCAAAGTTGTAACACGAGTGCAAATTAATTACAAATGGCCCCCGCACGCCTTCAAAATTTCGTCTGTCTGGACTTTCCGCGTTTTTCTTTCCATGTACATCCTTAAAGAATAAAAAACGCGCTGAGTGCATTGTTGAGTTATATAAGCACGGAGAAGCACGAGCCGAAGGCGAGTGCCTCTTGCACTTCGCGAGTGTTCTTAAAAATTCCCCAGTACTTATATAACTAAACAATGCTCGAGAAACAAGCTTTTTTATTTCTTTTAGAAAACGTATCGTGAATTGCGTGCACTCGTACCGGTGACGTTGGCTGCGTACACTATATCTCAACAATGCACTCGTGAGGCGTAAGGCACGTGCTTTATGGAAATATAGTGAACTCGTTCTGACCAATCACAGCGCGCTTTTCTCTGAACATTTTATAAGAGCAAGTAATATGATGATTTCTCTTGCAATTTGATGTCAGTAAGTTCTTGTAAATTTTTTAAAGACTACAAATTGCACTCTCCCTACGGGCTCGTGCAATTTTGTTATCTTTGAAAAATTTACTCATGCCTATTTACACCAAATTGCACTCGAAATCATTTTATTTACTGACACAAATAAGATAAATTAAAGTCTTGTAAATTTTAAATGACTGCAAATTGCACTCTCATTACGGGCTCGTACAATTTTGTTCATTTTTGAAAAATTTACTCGTGCCTATTTACACCAAATTGCACTCGAAATCGTGTTAGAACCGGTACAAATAAGATAAATTCAGAGAAACTAGCTGGAAAATCGGGGCCACCAAATGTTCGTATTCTGATCAAACTTGTCATATTGAGAAGGAAAATAAGTTTGATATGGTCTGTGATGTGATGTTCATTTGTCCGCTGGTCGATTATGATATTCATGTATATTCCCGATCGATATCAAAATAGCTCAAAACTTTTCAGAAACCGTTTGTTTGATCCGTGCTTGTGTTCAAAATCTGTTGATACATTTTAATGAAGCAAATTGCAGACTGGCTTCTCAAAAGAGTCTGATTCAATATCAATAAAATAAAAACAATAACAGAAAAAACACCACACATATAATTATTTCTTGCTTTATATTGCTTCATTATCAGTTAATGCCAGTTAAGTTGTGCGTGTGATGAAAGTTGCTTTTGTTCTTTTAGTCAGAGCAAGTTTCACATAAACTATGCGCGAAAACTTGATCATTATCCTACTGACCGTCACCCATGACATCGAGCAGAAAATTATGCTCAAATTTTTCTTTCTGATCAATTTGATAATTCAAAATAATAGCTTTTAAGAACCCCTCGACCTCCCGTCCCCCTACCTTATTCCTATCACCAACAGGTAACACTTTCTAACAATAAAAGGCTTACCGAAGTTCAGAACACAACATTTTACTAAACAAATTCCTTACGTGCAAGCAAGAAAAGCAGGCTTGCTGTTGAAAGCACTTAGGATGGAATTAATTTCTTGGTAAACTGTAACATCAAGGCGGGATTTTTATGAAGTCACTAACTATAAGATTATGCTCAACATTATACTGGCATAAGTTATCTGAACTTAACCAGTGTTCTTTAGAAGGGAAAAATATTTACTGTGGCCCATATCTTCTTTGGAATTCAGAGAAATTTTCTCACCGTGAAATATATAGAGCACTACTCAGGACCACAAAAAATAATGAATTTAGCAGAGAAATGATATTTATAGATCTGGCCAATGGAGTTTGAAGGTACATGTATTCCATAATAAACCCGTTTTTCATAAATGAGCATAGTGACTCTCCGATTATATTTCAAAAAACTAGCTCGTGCTTTCCAAACTTCCCGCGTGCTTCATATCTCGATGAACGCACACTGACGTATGAACCAATTGTTAATTGAAAAACTTCTCGATATTAAAATTAGTGGTTTTAAGAGTACTGTTAATTACAATAGAAATTGCTATTAATATGTACCAGAATAGTGGATAGCGTTGAAATCGCGCTCTGATTGTTTGCTCAAATTCCGGATTTCCTTTGTTATTCACCTTTAAGCAACGCGCGCGGGATTTTTTTGTACTATATTTACTCACTTTTTTTTAGGATATACTAATTCACTAAAACAACTATTTAACTCAATGTGGATGGCAAGGGTGGATATTTTCTTCGCCGCTTCGCAGCTCGAGAAATATCTTCCACCAGCCACCTTCACTTTGGTAAATATTTGTTAGTTATATATTTCAAACAGTTTCTCCTTCTCGCGCGATTGAAAAGAAATCAGTAACCTTATCAACTCAGATGATGAAACCTAGTTATCTTGTATCACAAGCACACAAAAAATAGGGGAAATGTTTAGAGAAGAAAAAGATGTTTGTGACAAGAAGTAAAACATTACGTATTTTAGGATATCGATAGTGGGGGAAATCTTGAAAGCTAGGATGATAGAAAAATTAAGTATTGTTCACCATTCATTGTATAAAAATGACAGGAGTAATCAGGACTGGGCTCTAGACACTTCCTCTATCATTATCCGGGATACTGATTGCCATCCAGTGTAAGCATCACCCAGTGTTAGGCCAGAACACTTTCCTACCCATAACTCCACAGTAACCCTGCCTTGTGGAATGTTTTCACAGTATCCCTCAAATGATCTGTGATGATACAGAACAGGATTCCCAGATGGCCAATTGTTGTAAACAGCAGCCTCAATTGTCATTGGTCCACTGCATTCATTTCCATTAATTTTGAAGAACCACCGGTTGCATTTAATTGAAGTGCCATAGACTCTCATATTTCCCTGGAATGAGACTTTAATAGCTGTCTCAGACTGCACCTTGTTGAATAAGCAATCCTATAAAAAATGCCACGAATACAGTCTTAGTACAATAAAAATATTTTCCAAGAGTGGTAAAGGAAAAAATTTGATGATGTCATTGTACTTTTCCTGTCTGCAAGAATGCACAGAATTGTTAATTGATATTTTTAGTTTGGCGGCATTTCTCAAAGTCTCTTTCAGAGATGGTCATGAAAAATTGGCTCTAACACTCAATTTTATTTTTCATCGCATTTTCTAGATATTTCTGTACCTTAATCTTTCCACTATCTCTACTATCATCATTTTTCCACACACACTGTTTCCAGTTGGTCTGTGACACTGCACCATTCACGATTTCTCCTTTCTCTCCTTTAGATCCCTGCTCTCCTTTCACACCCTTGATTCCTGGCGGTCCACTGCTGCCACGTGACCCTTCATGACCTTTATCTCCTTTTATTCCCATCATTCCAGGTGCACCATTTTTACCCAGTGACCCTGGATTTCCTTTTAGTCCTCTTGTTCCCGTCATGCCTCTCGGTCCCTTGACACCAGGCTCCCCCTTAGCTCCATCTTTTCCTTGTTGTCCTTGGGGCCCTGGGGCGCCAGGAATCCCCGGCATTCCTGGAATGCCATTCGATCCTGGAATCCCAGAAAATCCGTGAGCAAAAATGGATTTCTGAGGAAGAAAAAAAAAACATTGTAATTTGATGGACGTACTTGATGTTCATTGATATTTACTTGTTAGCCGAATTAGCCCAGCAGTTTCTTCAGAAACTAATCTTGATGAGAAGTTAGCTTCGTTTTAGGAGAAACAGCTCGGAACATCGAATGATCTTGTAACGCTCTATACGTAGAGATATCCCTAAAAGAAACTTCATTCAGCAATGTTCCACTTATGATTGATGAGGGATTTGTTTTGCGCTTAGCTTGGCAGACATGAGTGGTTAAACTTAGGTGTGACAAATGAACGCTCCATGAAGTACATGCGATTTTGTAGTAAATAACCGTGGATGAAGCATGCTTAAGAGTACCTCACATGGGTCTTTGTCAGTACCAGTATGTGGATTCTGTTGTTGAGGACTGGTGGTTGTTCCCACGGAACTTACTCCTGTTTTGAATGAGACAAATGACAAAGCAGCAAGGATCAGGAGCTTTGCCATAATTCGATGGTTACTTTGCGCGAATAGTGCGTGTTGTATGACTGAAATATATATCTCCTTATGTACGCGCCTATTTATATCCTACTGAATTTCATTAAATGCAGCTGTCAGTTCTCATGTTAAATAACAGTCTTAATTAAGAAGCCTGGAGCTAAATGATAAGGATGTCTGAAACTACTCGAACTCACACACCGGGTAAACAACTTGACTGTGATATCCTTGTCAGTCCACTAATGAAGCACGTACTGACCAACAGACCAACGTTTCACTCAGATCCAGAGAAATTACGCAGTAAAATCTGGGCCACAAGATCTTCCTCTTCTGATCAAACGTGACATATGGAGAAGCAAAAAGAAGTTTGATATGGTCTGTGATATGATATTCATTTGTCCTTAGCTCTGTTTCGGTATCCATGTTATTGGATCCACTCCATTATTATTACTCCATTATTTAATTGAAAAAACAGGTGATAGCACCCATAGGCGTACGTGCCGTTGGGGCTGGGGAGGCTGAAACACCCCCCTCCCCCCGCCCTTCCAAATTTTGCGCAACTCAGATTTTTGGGGCAGCAAGAGAAATTTGGGCAAACCAAATTTTTACAAAAGTTTCCATGTTTCGTTTCGGTAATGGAATCGCACTTATTAACTTTGAAAGGGCATATGCCAACTTTGTAGTCAGCAATGGATCGTATCATTGATATCTTGGGTCGTCGAAATGGCAGAGACAGCTTTATATTTCTTTTAACGTGTGTTATAGGCTCATATGATAGATTGATAGGAAAGAATATATTCATTTCGTATGTAGGCCTATGTTAGTTAGGAAAATAATTTGATGATGGCCTTGTACTTTTCCTGTCTGCTGGAATGAACAGAATTGTTAATCGATATTTACAGTTTGACGGCATTTCTCTAAGGTCTTTTTCAGAGATGGCCATGACAAATTGGCTCCAATATTTAGTTTATTTTCATTACATTTTCTGGATAATTCTGTTCCTTAATCTTTCCGCGATCTCTACCGTCATTCCGATATTTCCACACACACTCTTTACCGTTGATCTGTGGCAGTGTACCCTTCACGCTTTTAAATATCACAGATAACAGTGTTGTAATTAACAAACTGCGGCAGGATAATAGCGGTCAAGAGGGCAGATGTTCAGGAGAGTGTTTCTGCGGACTCTGAGGCGCCTGATATCATCTTTATTTGTTCTATGGTCGATTACGGTATTCATACTTATATTGAGGCGGTGAGATATATTTTCATCTCCAAAATCTGTTTTTGTGTATCAATGCTACAAACTGCAGACTTGTGTTGTGAAGTTAAAATTAAGAACGATATTTTTGTGTTTCTTTTTGGTATCTTCTCGGAGGTGATGTTTCTATAATTACCATTATTTTGGGTGTTTTATTTTTCTATAAGACTTAAAGGTTTCTTATCAGCCTAAGGGTCACATCTGATTTTTCGGATAACGGAGTTTATCTCTAGAATGTAAGCCGCCTTGAATGCTTCAGATTATTACACAGAGAGTATGTGCTGCTATCTCACATGGTGCACAGGTGTGGTGTCAACTTCCAAGGTTAAGAAAACACAACCAAGGGAGAATATCTTTGCATATCTTTTTGAGTGAGAGTGAGAGTTAGTTAGGCTTAGAGTTGTAACAGCAAGACATGTTACATGAGATAAGAAGATTTTGAAATCCAAGATTCATGGTGCCTTCCACCCAGTTTGCTCAAGCTATTTCCCCTGTATGTTCAAATGCTTTTCTAACTGAGCATCTAATTAAACTGGCGTACTAACGTGTTTGATTTAGGACATAGGTGATAGCATTCGTTAGCTTGACCCTTTTTTCAAATATCACAGATAACAATTTTGTTATCAGAAAATTTAACAGTAAAAGGTGGCCAAGCCCTTAGATATTCAAAGAGGGTAATTTTGTAACTGTGGTACTGCGTCGGTGAGGGGTATTACAGGATTATTTGGTTTTATCAGCTGAACTGATAACGTAAATTGGCCAGCGTAAAGAGTTTCAAAAGCATCTGCCACGTGAACAACCTACATAACATTTATCTCCTTTTAATCCTATCATTCCAGGTGCAGCCCGGTCACTACGGTCCCTTGACACCAGGCTCCCCCTTAGCTCCATCTTTTCCTGATTACAGTATCCATGCTTATATTGAGGCGGTGAGATATATTTTCATCTCTAAAATCTGTTTTTGTGTATTAATGGAACAAATTGTAGGCTCGTGTTGTGAAGTTAAAATTAACAACGATATTTTTGTTTGTCCTGTTGAAATGTTCTCGAAAGTGATGTTTCAACTAATTAACACTAGGTGTTTTACTTTTCTACAAGACTTAAAAGTTTTCTTTTTTATCAGCGTAAGGGTCACATCTGTTACTGTTATCGGATAACAATTTATCTCTAGAATGTAAGCCTTCAATGCTTCAGATTATTTTTCACATAGTTCACGTGCCGCTATCTCGCTGGAATAAAAATTTTGAAATTTAAATAGCTTTATCAGATTGCAGCTTGTTAAATGAGCAATCCTATAAAAAATGCCGAGAAGACAGTCTTAGTGGAAAAAAATATGTTTTATAAGAGTGTTATAGGAAATAATTTGATGATGACGTCGTACTTTTCCTGCTTGCAAGAATGCACAGAATGTTACTCGATATTTTTAGTTCGGCGACATTTCTCAAAACTCTTTTTCAGAGATGGCCATGACAAATTGGTTCTTTACTTTTCACTGCATTTTCTAGATATTTCAGTACCTTAATCTTTCCACGATCTCTATTATCATGCAGATTTTTCCACACATAGTCTCCAGTTGGTCTGTGACAATGTAGCATTCACGCTTTGACCAGACGTCTGACTAATGTGAAATTTATCTGAAACTTTAATGTGTTTGATTGAAGAAACAGGTGATAGAGCACCCATAAGCGTACGGGCCGGGGGGAGCTGGGGGCTGCCAACCCGCCCTCCCCCTTCCCAAATTTTTGGCAACTCAGATTTTTGGGGCAGCAAGAGAAATTTTGGCAAAGCCAATTTTTACCAAAGTTTCCATGTTTCGTTTCGTCTTTCTTTTTCTTTGAGAGACATTTTTTTTATTTTTCGTTTTAAGTAGGCGTGGTGAAGCCAGTCAAATTCATCTTCGGACTGTGAGTGCTTAAAGTAATTCTGAGCAACACATATAGTCTGTGCCGATATCTTCTGGGAAAGACGGTCGATGTCATCTGCAGTTGAAGAAATGCCAACATGACCAAACAGACCGTAGGCTAGTGTCGTAGTGATTAAAGTTTCAACAGCGTATGGCAGATAGTGTCAGCAATGGGTCTGAAAATTAAGAGATGGTTAACCAGTTCTTAGTTTGAATTACGAGAAGCCAGGTGATTACGTGCAAGACAAACGCAGCTGACATCGTAATCGCACCACCGTATAAAGACTTACTATACGTCCATCGACAAGGAGCTGACCGAGCTTGATCTCAGGTTTAGTAAAAATAAACTGTGCTTTGGGAAACATCTGTCACAGTGAAACACCTAATAAAGAAAGCTTCTTCCGCAATGCCAAATTTTACAAAATCGGCATCTGAACTCTTTGACTGTTACAGTCTCCAGTTGGTCTGTGACAATGTACTATTCAATATCAAAGATAACAGTGTTGTAATTATCAAACTGCGGCAGGATAAAAGCCGTCAAGCCCTCAAGGAAAGCGTTTCTGCGGACTCTGAAGTGCCTGATATCATGTTTGTTTGTTCTATGGTCGATTACGGTATTCATACTTATATTGAGGCAGTGAGATATATTTTCATCTCCAAAATCTGCTTTTGTGTATTAATGGTACAAGTTGCAGACTTGTGCTGTGAAGTTAAAATTGAGAACGACATTTTTGTGTTTCTTTTTGGTTTGTTCTCGAAAGTGATGTTTCTATAATTACTACTATTTTAAGTGTTTCATTTTACTACAAGGCCATTAGCGTGAGCGTCACATCTGTTTTTTTTTTTTTTCAGATAACGGAATTTATCTCTAGAATGCAAGCCTTCAATGTTTCAAATTATTTTTCACACTCTTATGTGCCGCTAACTCGCCTAAAGCGCACGTGTGGTGTCAAGGTTAAGAAAACACAATTAAGTGAGAATATCTTTGCATATCTGTTTGGTGACAGTAGTTAGTGAGAGTTAGTTCGGGTTAGGGTTGTGGCAGCAAGACATGTTGCATAAAATAAGATTTTGGGATCCAAGATTCATGGTGTCTTTTTTGACTGAATGGCTTATGACGATATATTATTTCCATTCATTTTCCAACACTTAAATAAGTCTAATACACATATACAGAAAATTCTTGTCAGATGCCAATTTTGTCTTTTAATAACATTTAGCTTGGCAGACATGTGTGGTAAAGATTTCACAATTGAAAGATTCGTGATGTAAACATAGGAAAACCGCGATTTTTTTAAAATAATTAATCGAGCTTTAATCGCCAAGCGTACCTCACATGGGTCTTTGTCAGCGCCAGTTTGTGGATTCTGTTGTTGAGGACTCGTAGTTGTTCCCACTGAACTGGCTCCTGTTTTGGACAAGAAAAATAAAGAAAGCAGCGAGGATCAGAAGCTTCGCCATACTCCGATGGTTACTTTGCGCGAATATTTTGTGTTCTCTTTGAAATATCTTCTTAATAATGACTCCTAAGGTTATAAGATAATAACTAAATTAGAATATAGGCACGTAGCTTTTGGTTAATAGTAATAAGTTGTAGGTAGAGTTGTAGTCGAAAGTAGTTGAAGATTGAGTGACAGTTACAGTTGAAGTTAATAAGAGGGAAAATACCGTAGACGATGCAGCAGCAAGGTATGATACATCAAAGACGATACATCTTGTGATCCAAGAATCTTATTGCCAATAAGCTCAGCGAGTTTGCCTAAACTAGTTTTTCCCTAACTTCCCAACATTCTTTGCTCCTTTGGTCGATTACGGTATTCATGTATTTTGAATCAATTCTTAAACAGAAAAAAACTTTTTGAACACCGTTTGTTTTGATCACTGATTTTGGGGCGGTGCGATAGATTTGCATCTCCAAACTCTGTTGATGTGTTTTAATGGTACAGAATTTGAGACGCCGCGGCGTTTAATCGAATCAATAATGCGCAAGAAAAAATTACGCACTGATTAGCTGGAAACGATTGCATTCTCATGTAACACGCCTGCGAAGTTGTAACACGATTGCAAAGTTGTAACACGAGTGCAAATTACAAGTAGCGCGCGCACGCTTTCAAAATTTCGTCGGTCCTGACTTTCTGCGTTTTTTTTTCCATGTACATTATTAAAAAGTAATAACATGATTTTTCTTGCAATTTGGTGTCAATAAATTCTGGTAAATTTTTCAAAGACTACAAATTGCAAATTATTTCAACAAAACTAAACTCGAAATCATGTTATTACGTATATAAAAAAGGTAATTTTAGAGAAATTAGTCAGAAAAATCGGGGCCTCGAAATGTTCGTATTGTGATCAAACTTGCCATATTGAGAAGGAGAGTAGGTTTAATATGGTCTCTGATATGATGTTCATTTGTCCTCTGGTCGATTATGATATTCATGTACATTCTCGATCGATTCCAAAATTGCTCAAAATGTTTTAAATAGCGTTTGTTTGATCCGTGCTTACCATAAGGCGGCGTGGTAGATTTTCATGTTCAAAATCTGTTGATGCATTTTAATGAAGCAAATTGCAGACTTGAGTTGTGTGGTTTAAATTTAGAGCGGCGTTTGGTTCTTGTTGGTCCGTTTTCGTTTGCGATGTGATAATTAATAAACGAGGGAGTGTTTTATCAGGGTTTCTAAACACGAGGAAACTGGTAAAAGCAAGAGACCGAAGGCGGAGTGCTTTTGTGCTTTTTTTTTGGTTGTTTTTCTTTTAAATTGGTTTCTCAAAAGGGTCAATTTCATCATCAGTAAAATAAAAAACAACAACAGAAAAAACATCATGCATATATTTATTTTTTTCTTTCTATTATTGCATTATCACATGTGCATATTTGCCAGTAAGTGTGATGAAATGTGTTTTTGTTCTTTTTTAGCGAGAGTAAGTTTCACATAAATTATGCGCGAAAACTTGATCATTATCGTTCTGACCGTCACCCATGGCATCGTGCCGAAAATTATGCTTAAATTTTTCTTTCTGTTCAATTCGATAATTCAAAATAACAGCTTTTAAGAACCCCCCCAACCTCCCGTCCCCCTGCCGTATTCCTACCACCAACAGGTAACACTTGCTAACAATAAAATGCTTACCGAAGTTCAGAAAATAAACATTTTAATGAACAAATTCCTCAAGCGCAAGCAAGAAAAGTAGGCTTCCTGTTGACAGCACTCAGGATGGAATTAATTTCTTGGTAAACTGTAACATCAAGGGATTTTTATGAAGTCAGTTACTATAACATTATGCCCAACATTATGCCGATATAAGTTATCTGACCCTAACCAATGTTCTTTAGAGGGGAAACGTATTTACTGTGGCCTAAATCTTCTTTGGAACTTAGAGAAATTTCCTTACCGTGAAATATATAAAGTATTACTCAGTGCCACAAAAATAATGAATTTAGCAGAGAAATGATAATTACAGATTCGGCTGATGAAGCTTGAAGGTACATGTATTCCATGGTAAACGCTTTTTTCTTAAATGAGCATAGTGACTCTCCGTCTATGTTTCAAAAACTAGCTTCCAAGAAGTTGATAGCACACTGTGACGAACGCTTTGAGGTAGGTTCTAATTAATAAACGGAACCGCTAATTATCTGTCACTTGACTAGGTCGGCCAGTCAATGAATAGTGGATGAAATATTCAGTTTTACCTGCAGAATATTTGAGCACGAACAAATTGAAGCTAGTGATAGGCGCCCACTTCTTGACGCTTATTTGAAAAACTTCTTCGATATTAAAATTAATGGTAATAATAGTACCGATAATTACAATGATAATAATAATAAAAAATTGTTGTTAGTATGTATCAAGATAGTGGATAGTGTTGAAATCCCACTCTGATTGGCTACTTAAATTCCGAATTTCCTTTGTTATTCACCTCTAAGTAACGCGCGCCGGATTTGCTCCTGAAATTTATTTCAGTCATTGCAAGAATAAATGAGTGACTTTTTTGTGCTATATTAACTCTCTGCTTTGGTATATACTAATTTACTAAAACAGCCATTCAACTTAGTGTGGGTGGCAGGGGTAGATATTTTCTTCACCGCTTCGCAGCTCGGGAAATATCTTCCACCAGCCACCTCTACTTTAGCAAATATTTGTGAATTTTATATCACGAACAGTTTCTCCTTCCCGCGCGATTGAAAAGAAATCAGTAACCTTATCAACTCAGATGATGAAACCTAATTATCTTGTATCACAATCACACAAAAAGTAGGGGAAATGTTTTAGAGAAGAAAAAGATGGCTGTGATAAAAAGTAAAACATTACGCACTATAGGATATCAATAGTGGGGGATAATCTTGAAAGCTAGGATGATGAAATAGTATAATATTGTTCACCATTCCTTGTATGAAAACGACGAGAGTAATCAGGACTGGGCTCTAGAGACTTCCTCTATCATTATCCGGGATGCTGAGTTCCATCCAGTGTGAGCATCACCCAGTGTATAACTACCGTGACACTGTCCTACCCATAACTCCACAGTAACCCTGCCCTGTGGAATGTTTTCACAGTATCCCTCAAATGATCTGTGATGAAGCAGATTAGGACTCCTAGATGGCCAATCGTTGTACACAGCAGCCTCAATTGTCATTGGTCTACTGCATTCATTTCCATTAAACTTGAAGAACCACCGGTTGCATTTCCTTGAAGTACCAGTGACTCTCATATTTCCCTGGAATGAGACTTTAATAGCTGTATCAGACTGCAGCTTGTTGAATAAGCAATCCTTAAAAAAAGTGTCAATAAGACAGTCTTAGTGCAACAAAATGCATTAAAGAGTGTTATAGGAAACAATTTAATAATGCCCTTGTACTTTTCCTGCCTTCAAGAATGAATAGAATTGTTAATTGATGTTTTTAGTTTGGCTGCATTTCTCAAAAGTCTCTTTCAGAGATGGCCATGAAAAATTGGCTCTAACACTTAATTTATTTTTCATTACATTTTTTAGATATTTCTGTACCTTAATCTTTCCACTATCTCTATTATCATCGAGATTTTTCCACACACACTGTTTCCAGTTGGTCTGTGACACTGCACTATTCACGATTTCTCCTTTCTCTCCTTTAGATCCCTGATCTCCTTTCACACCCTAGATTCCTGGCGGCCCACTGCTGCCACGTGACCCTTCATGACCTTTATCTCCTTTTATTCCCATCATTCCAGGTGCACCATTTTTACCAAGTGACCCTGGATTTCCTTTTTGTCCTCTTGTTCCCGTCATACCTCTCGGTCCCTTGACACCAGGCTCGCCCCTTGGCTCCATCTTTTCCTTGTTGTCCTTGCGGCCCTGGAGCGCCAGGAATTCCCGGCATTCCTGGTATGCCATTCGATCCTGGAATCCCAGAAAATCCGTGAGCAAAAATGGATTTCTGAAAAAGAAGAAAGAACATATAATCATTGAATGGATGTACTTGATTTTTATTGATATCTACGTGTCCGCCGAAGTAGCACAGCAGTTTCTTCAGAAGCTAATCATGTTGAGAATTTAGCTTCGTTTTAGGAGAAACAGCTGGTAACATTGGATGATCTCATAACGTTGTGGAGATATTCCTAAAAGAAAACTTTTTCAAGCATTGTCCTCCTTTGTCTTTGACACTTATGATTGATGAGGGATTTTTTTTTTGCTTTGCTTGGTAGACATGAATGGTAAACTGAGGTATGACAAATGAACGCGTCATGAAGTAAATGCGATTTTGTAGTAAATAATCGTGGATAAAGCATGCTTAAGAGTACCTCACATGGGTCTTTGTCAGCACCAGCTTGAGGATTCTGTTGTTGAGGACTAGTGGTTGTTCCCATGGAACTTGCTCCTGTTTTGGATGAGAAAAATAACAAAGCAGCGAGGATCAGAAGTTTCGCCATACTTCGATGGTTGTTTCGCGCGAATGCTTTGTGGTTGCTGTAAAATATCTCCTTATGTACGTGCCTACTTATATCCTACTGAATGTCATTAAATACAAACTGTTAGTTATCATGTTAAAATGACAACCTTAATTAAAGAGCGCTGGAGCTAAATGATAAGAATGTCTGAAACTACTCGAACCCACACACCTGGTAAACAACTTGACTGTGATATCCTTATCAGTTCACTAATGAAGCACGTACTGACCGACAGACCAATGTTTCACTCAGATTCAGAGGAATTACGCACAAAAATCTGGGCCACAAAATCTACCTACTCTGATCAAACAAGAAATTTTGAGAGGGAAAGTTCGATATGGTCTGTGATATGATATGTTCAGCTGTCCTTAGCTCGATTTGGTATTCATGTTATTGGATCCATTCCAAAACAGTATAAACCTTTTTGAACGCCGCGTGTTAGACTCAAACTTATCATGAGGTGGTGTGTTCAAAATTTGTCGACATTTAATAGTGGTACAAATTACAGACCGTCTCAGTGATATCAAATTTGACTGAAACTATGATGTGTTTGATTTCAGAAACAGGTGATAGCACCCAGTTGCAAACCCCCCTCCTCCTCCCTCTCCCAATTTTGGGCAACTCAGTTCTTTTGGGCAACAAGAGAAACTTTGGTAAAGCCAATTTTTACTGAAGTCTCTATGTTTCGTTTCATCTTTTTTTCTCTTTGAAAGAGAAATTTTTTATTTTAAACTTAAGTAGGCGTGGTAAAGCTAGATAATTCATCTTCGGACTGTGAGTGCTGAGAGAAATTCTAAGCAACACTTATAATCTGTGCCGATATCGTCAGTGGAAGACGATCGATGTCATCTGCAGTTCTAGAAATACCGACATGACCTTACAGACCGTAGGCCAGTGTCGTAGTGAAGAAAGTTTCAACAGTGGAAGGCAAATTCTGTTAGCAATGGGTCTGAAAACGAAGAGCCTGATATCATGTTTATTTTTTCTATGGTCGATTACGGTTTTTTTTTACTCATATTGAGGCGGTGAGATATATTATCATCTCCAAAATCTGTTTTTGTTTATTAATGGTACAAATAGCAGACCATAATTACCACTATTTTAGGTGTTTCATTTTTCTACAAGACTTAAAGGTTTTTTTAACAGCGTAAGAGTCATATCTGTCACTGTCTTCGGCTAACAGAATTTATCTCTGGAATGTAAGCCTTTAATCCTTCAGATTATTTCTCACACAGTATCTCGCTGGAATGAGACTTTAATAGCTTTATCAGACTGCAGCTTGTTGAATGAGTAATCCTATAAAAAATGCCGAGGACAGTCTTAATGCAGAAAAATGTTTGATAAGGGTGTTACAGGAAATAATTTGATGATGACCTTGTACTCTTCCTGCCTGCAAGAATGCACAGAATTGTTAGTTGGTATTTTTAGTTTAGCGGCATTTCTCAAACGTCTCTTTCAGAGATGGCCATGACAAACTGGCTCTAACGCTTACATTATTTTTCATTGCATTTTTTCGATATTTCTGTACCTAAATCGTTCCTCTATCTCTGTCATCATGCAGATTTTTCCACACATACAGTATCCAGTTGATCTGTGACAATGTACTATTCACGCTTTTAAATATCACAGATCACAGCGTTGTAATTGACAAACTGCAGCAGGATAAAAGCGGTCAAGCCCTTTGATATTTAGGGAGCGTTTCTGCGGACTCTGAAGCGCCTGATATCATGTTTATTTGTTCTATGGTCGATTACGGTATTCATACTTATATTGAGGCAGTGAGATATATTTTCATCTCCAAAATCTGTTTTTGTGTATTAATGGTGCAAATTGCAGATTCGCCTTTGTGAAGTTAAAATTAAGAGCGATACTTTTGTGTCTCTTTTTGGTATGTTCTCGAAACTGATGTTTTTCTAATTACCACTAATTTAGGTGTTTGATTTACTTAAAAGACTTTTTTTATCAGGGTTTTTTATCAGCGTAAGGGTCACATCTGTTACTTTTAACGGATAACGGAATTATCTCCAGAAAGTAAGCCTTCAATGCTTCAGATTACTTTTCACTGTCTTATGTGCCGCTATCTCGCACAGAACACAGTTGTGGTGTCATCTTCCAAGGTTAAGAAAACACAACCAAGTGAGAATATCTTTGCATATCTTTTTGGTGATATTAGTTAGTGAGAGTTAGTTAGGGTTAAAGTTGTAGCAGGAAGACATGTTACATAAAATAAGAAGATTTTGGGATAAAATATTCATGGTGCCTTCCACACAGTTTGCTCAAGAGATTCCCCCAAACGTTCAAATACTTGTCTAACTGAGCATCTAATTAAACTGGCGTAATAACGTGTTTGATCTAGGAAATAGATGATAGCATTCGTTAGCTTGACCCCTGTGTTTTAAGCAGCAAAATGCAGCAGGAAAAGGCGGCCAAACCTTTAGATGTTCAAAAAGGGTAATTTTGTAACTGTGATACTGCGTCGGTGAGGGGTATTGCAAGATAATTTGGTTTTATCCACGAACTGATAATGTAAATTGGCCACCTTAAAGAGTTTCTAAAGCATCTACCACCAAAACAACCTACATTACGATTACTTTATTTTAATGCTTTCATTCTAGGTGCACCATTATCACCACGTGACCTATCATTTCCTTTTTCCCCTCTTCTCCCCGTCATGCCTCTCGGTCCCTTCCCCTTAGCTCCATCTTTTCCTTGTTGTTGTTGCGGCCCTGGGGCGCCAGGAATTCCTGCATTCCTGGCATGCCATTCGATCCTGGAATCCCAGAAAATCCTTGAGCAAAGATGGATATCTGATAAGAAAAAAAGTGTATGTAATGATTGGGTGTACGTACTAGATGTTCATTGCTATATTTGCTTGTCTGTTCAGACAGCGCAGCAATTTCTGTTGGATGATGATGCAAAATATTTTCGCCAGAACAAATAAATTTTTCACCTGACGAATGCACCTCGGAGCAGTGAATATTCCCATAATATTACCACAGGAAGACAACCCTGTGGGTTTGAGGCCGCGTGACGTCAGTTATTTGATACACTAGTTGGACTCTTACATTGTTTTTAATTTGCAGCGGTCGATCTCGGCAAGACGCAAGTGATCCCGAGAAATGTTTCAGAAATGCCGCAAATCATAACATTTCTTCCCTAAAATCCGCTTAATGACAATCAGATAAATAAAATTCACTTACCTTCCTTTTTCTGTGTTGTCTCGAGTGATTTTGCAGGGTTTTGAGACGGTTAATTCCCCACTTTGCACTGATGCCCCTTCAAAGGCAGGAAACATTAGCCAATCGGAACGAAGCTACTACTGACAGCTTCGTTCTGATTGGCTAATGTTTTTCCGGTTGCGGAATAAAGGTGGTAAAATAGCCTTAGGGGAGGGCTGGTTTGTACTGTCTTTCGACCGACACACTATGCACTGGTGTGGGGAGGATCGGGTGAAATGTGAGCTTGGTTAGTGATTAATTTGAATTGTAATACGATTAATCGAAGATTTATGATCGACCTCTTCGGTCTACATTATGTGTCGACGGTGGATGATAAGCGAATGTCGGAAATCGAGCACGCTTTTCAGGTAGTTAGAGGCGGACAATTGCACTGATCTTTTGCTTGGATCTTACACGTTTATCGAATTTTAACGCACCCCAAGCTGGGAGGTGAGCGACGTTTGGAAGCGGAAGAAATTCGACGAAGTTCTGGAGGCTTTCGGCCCAGACAGCCCTGGTAGTTGCAGGCCTTGTTTTTCCTTTTCCTTTGCGCGCATACTTTGTGTTCTCTGTGCAATATCCTCTTAAGCATGTATGAAATATTTTCATAATAATAACTCCCATGGATATGAGAAAAGCGCTAAAACATGTTTCTGTTTTAAAAAATTAAAATGGTCAGTTACCATGCTATTGATTGCGAGAAATGAATTGGATTTTCAATAAACGCCGCCCTCGTATAAATTAAACGCCGCACTCGAATCCCAAAAAATGTACTAAACGCCGCGGCGTTTAATCCAATTAATAATGTACTTGAAAAATTTCCGCGCTTCTGATTAGCTGAAAACGATTGCATTCTCCTGTAACACGCGTGCAAAGTTGTAACACGAGTGCAAATTAATTACAAATAGCGCGCGCACGCCTTCAGAATTTTGTCTGTCTTGATTTTCTGCGTTTTTTTGTTTTTTTCTTCATGTACATTATTAAAGGAATAAAAAACGCACCGAGTTCATCGTTGAGTTATATAAGCACGGAGAAGCACTCGCCTTCGGCTCGTGATTCTCGCACTTCTCAAGTGTTCTTTTAAAATGTTTCCAAGTGCTTATAGAACTAAACAATGTTCGAGGAACAAGCTTTTTTTATTTCTTCTATAAAACGTATCGTGCATTGCGTGCGCTCGTACCGATGACGTAGGCTGCGTGCACTATATCTCAACAGTGCACTCGTGAGA